CATCGGGTTACGACCAACTCGGGATACGCCCAGAGTCATGGAATGGATTAAGTTCATATCCCGAGGTACTACTGTATATGACTCATTTAGTATGAATAGCTAGAAGCCAATAGTTATCTGGATACTACAGATATATAGTATTGCCAGAAAATAAACATATTTCCTTCAGGAAGGAAATCATAAAACAATGAATTATTTCTTTAAAAAGTATATGTTTCCTGCTTAACCTCACACGTTACTTCCATATAATAATATGGAAACATATTTTTTTGAAAAACTGTTCTATTAGCTTAAAGTTAAGAAATAAGGGGAAGAAAATAAAATAAAGAAATAAAGCTACAAGTTTCACATGCAAACCGGGAAACAAAATGAGATTTTAAAAAGCATAAGGCAAATAGAATACAGTAAAAAAGTATAATTAAAATTCTTATTTATAATCTCAGGGCCTTTGAGACATGGCTAAGAGATCATGAAGTTCTAAGAACGGCAAAATGGCCAGCAATAGTTTCCGCGCACCATCCTAAAAGCTGTGGAAAACAAACCCCACCAGTTTGCTTAGTGACTCCGTATTTGCTAGAACAGTGTCGGTCTTTACCTTTTTCGTATTTAAATGTATTTCCTGGGTGTTGCCCATGACTATAAGCCCTCAGGTATTTTTTATTTGAATGCTGAAACTTGATTATAATAAACAGTGTGTTATAAAGTACTATCTAAAAACTAAAACAGTATCTTACGTTAAAATATGGTGCAAGAACAAGACATCTGCCACGCTGGGGTTTGACTGGTTTGCATATTGAGCTAAGATGTAAACCTCAGTTGCTTGGTATGCATATCATATTAAGCCAAAATCAAATAAACCCCATTATAATTTAATGTGTGTGAACCCAGGCAGTTACTGAATTTTCTCACCCAGATAGTCTGTATCCACTTGTGTTTTCTGTTAAGCTGAAATGCCACACAATTGAAAGTGATAAAACAATAGGCTTCCCACCCACCACCACCGCCCATGCGTTAGCACAGGATTATTCACAGTACTCAAATATACTATTGGAAGATTATTGTGGGTAATTTCCAGTTTAGGTCCCCCCCCCTCCTTTCTGTCTTTATGTGCATTTATTAAACATCAGCAACCAGCAAAAACAGTTAACTGGCAAAATGGGACAAAAAGCAGGCAAAAGCAAGAGAGGCAAGAATATGCTCTCTCTCTCTCTCTCTCTGCACACACACACACACACACACACACACACAGAGGCAGAGAATTTTCCAGAGCCACTGGCAATAATACTATGGGTAATCTGCATAGACAAAAGAATGGGATTTAGTTATTCCTTTAAAATTATTCTGTGGCAGCAGTTTGAAATAAGTATACCAGATGATTCCTTCTCTTTCCAACATCATGAAGGAAGCAATTTAGTGGATGGAGATGGTGTTTCCAACATGTCCTTTGCTAGGAAAGTGAAAAAATTAAATGAATTCTAAGTATTTTGACTAGACAAATCTTTATATACAAGCAGTGGAAATCTGTGTAATAATGGTTTCTGCAAGAATCTGAAATTGATAAAGTAAATAAGGTAACTAGTGTAGTAACAGTACAACCTCCATTCAGAAATATATCCTAGAGAAGCCTGTCTCAGTTACATATTACAGGATAAAGACTTAAGGCTGTCTTTTATACAATTAGGTGATAGCTTCCATTAAATATAATTCTACGTCCAAGAAAATATATAGTTGAACTGTATAGTTGAAGCAGGACATATATACTTATTTAAAATGGGAAGGGGGGGAAATGGAGTCGCAAAACTCAAACCAAAACTATTCTTATTTTGAAAAAAAAAAAGAGTAGATAATATTTGGATAAAATAGCCTCACATAAAGAATGCAAATGCGTTGTCTTTACTGCAGGTAATTCTGGCAGGTGTAGAAGAAAAGCCATACCAGATCTTGCACAAATTAATAACTAGAAGCAAATTTAAGTCAAGTTATGATTTGGAATTAATTAGGAGATATTTTAAATATATATATTATTTGGTTTTGTTACAATATATTTCTTTGAGTTTACTCTTACTAACATTTTGGATTAATAAAACAATAATAGCAGCAATATAGGTATACTTACAGCTAGGAGTATAGATAGGTTCTCTCATGAGCAAATATGAACAGTTTCTAATTTGCCTTTACTGGGATTATATATGTATTTTAATTAATTCAAAATACTGTTTTAAATGGAATCATTTTAATGTTGTTAATTCCAAATATATCTCTTTTTGTTCTTTGTTTGCCTTTTGCTTTTTTGGTGGTTAAGTCCCTTTTGGATGCCTTGAAACATCAAAGCACATGCTCCCAGAGCTCTCACGTGGAGGCATTGGATAGCAATCGCAAGCAAGAGGAGATGGGAACACAGATGGAACTTCTCCAGGAACAGGTAGGAGTAGACAGAACATAAATCTTTGCAGCGTTCATTTAATTCTGAAAAAGTGAGTGTGGAAGCATCATCATCTGTGGGGGCTCAGAAGTTAAGAAGTTAAGTTAACCATTACTGCATGGTTGAAGCCTGTACACCCATTAAAAGGTGGCAGGTCTTTGTGTGACCATCCTTAGCTTTTTGGGGTACTACTGCAAATGCCCCTACTGGAGGCTGCTTGGACAGAATAAAAGAAAATGTGGGGTTCTGTCACTCTGAAATATGATAATGTTTGCTTGGTGGAATGATAGACTAAACAAACTATAGATGAGAAACATGCATATTATAGAATGAATGCTGCAGAAATGAAGATGGAAAAATATATTGTTTAAAGTGTATGTACAGAAAAAGATAATTATAAAGAATGTAATCAAAGAGAGCATGGGATGTTAAGATTAAAAGAAGTGGAGATTGATTTTGATGGAAATAAAAAAACCCCCTTGTTTTGAAAGTGTGTGAAAAGGGCTAAACAAGGACCGACCACTAAGCCTTTTCAAATAAAAATAATGAAATTATTTGGGATGAAAGTGATTTGAGGGATTGCTGCAAGCAGTATTTCAGAGATTAGTATGGGATGAAGAGTGCAATTGGAACAAATGCTATAAAGTTAATGTCTGAGTAAAATTCATGAAAAGGAAGTCATAAATGGTATGAGAATATTGAAAAATAACAAAGCTGAGGGTGTAAATGCTACAACTAAAGAAATGTTAAAATGTGAATGTGAATCACATAGAACCTAAGGGCTGAAGAGCCAGATAAATTAAAAGTACATAAAGAATTCCACAAATGCCTCAAAGAAACTCCAAAACAGATTAATTTGTGTTGCAGTTCTGAAATTTAGGAAGACATATACTTTCCTCATTGGCTTTCCTTTTCTATAGGAACCCAAGCATTTAAAATAATGTTACTTTCCAGAACCTTGCATTTAAACTCTGTCATTATGGTCTATTAAGAATCAGTTGTTGAAAAATGAATGTATATGTTAGAAATGTACATGCACTAAAATACTTGCTTCTGTCATGATTGAAGAGTGAGCCAGATTTTACTCTCACATAATGCTTGCCACATGCAGAAAGGTGAAACCTTGCATTTGATTGTAGAGTAATGGATAGTACACACAATACAGCAGTTTATTTTTTCTGTGCTCTTTCCTAAATACTTCTGAGAGCATTTAAATCTATATTTTTTAAAGTGTCTCTAATTTTATGCATCAGAGAGAACACAGAGTTCATACTCTACTGGAAAACAAAAGTTCTACTCAATTTTAGATACCCAATGGCTGTTTTAATTTTCCTTGTGGTAGACTATAGAAAGATGACTTACCTTGAGTTATACCATAGGTTCATCTAGCCAGGATTTCCCAGTCTGGACATGCTTCTCATGTGTCAACTTCAACTTCTAGAATTCCATAGCCAGAGGGACCATTGTTGAGAATTCTGGGAGTTGAAGTTCATTTAACTGAAAAGAATTCAAATTAGGTAATGTTTGTGAGATTTGCCCCGTTCGACAGAGAAACTCTCGTGACACGTGTGGTTCACAAAG